TCCAGGTCCAGTGAAGAAAGGATTAGACCTTGAGGAACAAACACCTTTATAAGACAAAAAGAGGGAAATCAGCAAAAGACAGAGGAAAACTGGGAGGGAGATATGCAGAGATTAAATGGGAGAGGGAGGATCATAGAGAAAGAAAGGGAGTGGAAATGCATAGCTTGTAGGAGAGGTTGAAAAGAAGAAAAGAACGTAAGGGGAAGAAAGCCTGCAGGAAAGAACAGACAAGAAAAGAAGGATGAAGGGAGAGGAAGAAGAACATAAAGAAAGGGAGGAAACATAAAAACACTGTAGCCTGGAGAATAATGAAAAAGGCTGCATTTCTGAATTTATAAAATATACGGAAAATGTGCAATTATCACAGCACTCCGAAAAACAAAATCCTAATTGGGGGACATATGTCATCCCAGAGGCAGCTCATCTTCACAGCCTGATTTCAGGCTAGACAGGAAATTTACATGATCAATGAGAACTGGCAAGTAATTTTCAAAATCTCCATGGCATGTTGACTGCCCATTTTAAAGACCTGGTTTAGAAGGAGAGTAGAGGGAGGGTGATAAAAAGCTATCCCTTGCATACACCTTTGACCATATACAGGTGATGATTAGCAAAAAGTAAGTAAGGACTTGTTTAGGCCTCACCTGGAATGAAAAATCAGGACTTTGTGTGGGGCTTATCATGGCTACTTGAGACTGGGCAAAGACGAGATGCTATAAAAGCCCACAGTGCAGATTTGGCATAGGGCTCTTCTGCCAGGCTGGCTTAAAAATCATGCCACTGACTAGTCATGTGACCTTGGGCACAACCTTTAAACCTCTTTATGTTTCAGTGTTCCTGCTTCTGAAAGAGAGTGACATCAATTGTGCTTCTATTAAACAATCAGGCAATGTTGTGTAGTGGATAGGGTACCGGACCTCGGTTCAAATCCCTCCTCCGACATTGTTTGCGTTACCCTGGGCAAGTCATTTAATTTCTCTGTGCCTTAGTATATTAATCTATATGCTATGGATGTGATGACCTCAAAGGTCCCTTCCAGCACTAACTTATGATACCATGAACCCCCCAGGCTCCATCTTCCAAGGGCTCAGAAGATTTAGAGCCAGAAGGGACCTAAAAGCTTATATAGACCAAGTGAGGTCCTAGGAGACTGAGGCAGGAATAGAACTCAGGTCTTCTGACCCTGCCACTTTCTAAGTACAAAAGCCGAAGAACACAGTGCAGGAGACACTCTGGTGTTCTCAAAGGGAATGATAAAGTGTAAATGCAGAGCTTCAACTATGTGCATACCTAGACTAATGTCTATAACCTTTGAGGCAGAGCTCACAGACTCTACTGAGACAGATGCGCACCAGATATGACCCTCCTCTCTCGTCAGCTCTCACAGCACGATGCTCATGATTCTTCTGTGTGTCTGTGCTCAGGACAGGGGCTTGTAGCTCCATTTGTAACCAAAGCATACAGTGGCCTAAATCACCAAGAGCTTCCATGATTTGTCCTGGGATATGCAGCCAATACTTGTTAAAGGTCTCCCTGGTTTTGAGGCCAACTGTTTATCCAATACACAATGCTGCCTCTCTCCTCCACGTTTACTATGAAATTACAATGTTCTATATCTTTCAAATTTTATTTCCTTTCAAATGTTATATCTTTGGGGGTTGGGGGAGCAAGAGGAGAAGTGGCAGTTCTCTGTATCTCCCCTTCAGCATCAAGCAGAGATGTAGGTGGTTAGTTCATTTTTTTAGAGGAGGAAAAACATATTTTTGTAGTCAGTTTAGCTGATAGCCTAGGTGGCACTGAAAACCTCAATCAGAAGATTCACCTTGTTAGGTATGACTCCAGGTTCAGTGGATGGCAGCTTTTTTTTGAAATGTGTAAAGATGCTTAATGGTATCTGCCATCATTCTTGGGTCTCTGAAGAGCTCAACGATAACAGTATGGGCATACATGCATAGTTATGCGTGTATGTGTATATACACATATACCTATCTATATGGATATCTTTATGCTTCAATACTTCCAGCTATCTCAGCACAAACAGCGCTAGCTTTGGGCAGGAAGACCTTGGTTCCAATTCTGCCTTGTTATCCTGAGCAAATCAATCAACCCATTGAACTCTGGCAACTCCCCAAGACTTATGGTGATGAAATAAAAAACACAAACTCCCATCCAAAAAATGATAATAATGACAATAATAGCTAACACGCATGGTGTTTTAAGTTTCACAAAATGTGTTTTATATGTAGATAGATAAATAGATAGACAGATGGACAGATAAAATCTTCTTTGAAACAACCACAACAAAATCAAGCATCAGTGATTTCATTCGTCCTGGGTGTGATGAAAAGAATTCTCAATTTAGAATCCAAAGACCTGGGTTCAAATCCCAGATCTTGGCTTTGCCATTTACTTCCTAAGTGAACTTGGGCAATACACTTAATTCTCGGGCCTTATCAGTAAAATGAAGCAGTTGGCTTTTAAGGCCTCATACAATTCAGAATCTATGATCATATAATCATTCTATTAACATAATCCTCTGCTTGCCTTTGGCTGTGTCATTGGACTGTGAGCTCTCTGGGAGCAGAAATTGTTTTTTTGCTTTTTTTTTTTTAAATCCCCAGTTCTTAGCACAGTGTCTGGAACATATTAACTACTTAATGAGTGTTTACTGACTGACTTACTGATCTTGGGCAAGTCATTTATGGTCCTCAGTTTCCCCATCTGTAAAACGAGTGTATTTGACTAGTTCTCTAAGGTCCTTTCCAGCAGGAAATCTATGCTAAATTGTAGATAAAAATCAAGGCCTATTTGGGGAGAGGCATATGAGTGGCTCACCATTAACCCACAGTCAATCTTCTTACCTGATCTCTGCTGCGAAGCTAGATTTCAGCTGGGGGTTGATAAAAGAGGGACCCTTATTGCTTATACTCTGAGGTCCATTTCTCCTTTTCCTCTGATTATTTTCCCAGGTTTGAGTGCACTTAATCACCAATAAAGGTGTGTCTGAAGGATCTGAAGTGTCCCCAGGGATGGCCTTTAGCTAGAGCCACATGATGGCTAAAACAGACCCTGATGAAGGCTCCAGAATACAGCCCTCCACCATCACCACTGAGCACAATACATGCTAGTTTGCAGAAAAGAAAGGGATGACAATCTGCAAATTACTTTTCATTGTAGAAAAATACTCCGATTCTTTCCTGAACACAGCATTGTACTTTTTCAAATCATACCCCTTTTAAAGGAAAAAGAAGTGATTACTACAACAGACTCACATGTGGATCAGCATTGATTCGACAAGAGAGTTTTACCTGGTTTTCTGGTCAAGATCTCCTTCATTAAGTGAAGAGAACACGTCCCACTCCTTTTTTATAGGATTAATCACCAGATGAAAAGATAGGAGGAGTTCTGCATGTTTACAAAGTACATTTATACAACACAACCTAACTCGTGTTTAATTATCCAAAACCAAGACTAATGACGAGTATGCGAGCCTTCTCTGTCTGTCCACACAAAGTCTAAATATTTAACAATAGCTAAATCTCCAGACGCTGCCCCAGTGCCATTCTGCTTCTGATTATTCCCTCATCCAAACAACTGACAAATGGGAATCCATGCCTGCTGCCGCCTGAAACACAGAGAGGTGGGATGCCAGGCACGAGGCATCCAGTTTTTGTTTGTGCAGTGGTATGAGCCATAATTAGCACACGGCACAATTTATCCTTTTCTCCTCAGCAGTCTGGGCTATCAAAAGGCAAATCGGTCACTGCATTCAAAAATAAAATCCAAGCTCATTCATTACCTTGCTTTGAAATACCTTCCCAGGGTAAAACGATGAATTTACACAGGAAACTCCTAAAGGAAGGAAACGGTATTTTTCTATCTATATTGTGCCCAACCCAGTGCTCCTGAAACTTCCAGTCTCTCAGAGAAAATGACTTATCATTCCTCTCAGACTATAATAAGTGAATGTATCTTTTAAATGGTACCAAAGATAGGAATAGGTAGTTCTAGGTAAATCTAAAAGAATAAATGTAGTTTAATGACATTAAAACAAAACAAAATGTTACCTTGATCTTCCTATACTTGTACAAATTTGGGCATTGCCTTCCCACTAAAATCATTTCACTGAAATGAATTTTCCAGAAAACAGAATTATGGATTTGGAGTAGTCTGGAGCAAGGAGTTTATCACAGAAATTAATGATGCCTATTCATGTATTTGGTGAAGAGAAGTCATGAGAATTGGTGATGTTGAAAAACTGGGGAGTCAAGGCACTTAAAAGGGCTAGGGTGAAATGGGAGAAGTAAATCTGCGAGCCAAGCACAGATCCTAAGTGGCCTGGAGGTGACAGCAACAAAAATTCTGAGCATGATGGAGTAAACTTTTGAGATCACGGTTGCAAAGGGCTGATGGCAGTGTGGAATGAGGAGAAGGACAATTCTTCCTCTTGACTTATATGTTGGAAGTCTAAGAGAAGAAGAGAGGGTGTGAAGCCCATTGGGTCTTCAGGAGAAAGCTAGATTTCTTATGACCCTCCCCAAGGAGAAATAAGAGTTACAGCATGCCCTGGGCTTTCACATGGTACATTAAGCTTTGATTTTGTGTCAACCTAATAAACATTCATTAGATACTTCAAATAAAAGTAGCCTTTTAGCAACTAAGTACCATGACACATATGACATGCTATCAACTTGTTGGGGGCCAGAGATACAGCACATTTTCAAAACTACATCTAAGTAGAGGACTCTTATGAAATTTCTCGGACTTAGGAAAAATCTTGAGTCTAGACAACCTATAGAGAGGCTGATCATAGATACTTAACAATTAGCCAATGGCAGCTCAATTTCATCAATTAATTTTTAATTAGGGCTAAGAATGATTCTATCTCCTATGACACAGCCCTCATGAGGAAACTCTAGAAAGACGGCCACCATTGCCCATGTTACAATCACCTACCTCCAACACCATGGGGCACAGAGCAAGATTTCCAGGACACTTACCTGAAAAGCTTCTTGATGTCTTCTGCTTTGATTTCTTTGAGGATATCCTGGTACAGATGAGGATCTGACATTCCTGGAGAAGGATCCTGGGAAGGGCATTTTGTATGTGCATAATATCCAATCACAATCCCCAAAATAAATAAGAGGGTCAGAGTGCAAAAGATTTTGGAGAAGCGGAAAATACTACAGTGGCTGTTCTTTGGTGTCGTCCTGGGGTAACGGCTCACATAGCCTGAGTCCTCCTGAAGTCTCTGGAACCTTCCTTTGGGGGATGTGGCTGGCTGAATGGAATCGAGATCCAGGTCCCCAGTTTCTGAATTCCCCAAGTTCTGGTTCTCAGCACCATCAAGCTGAAAACGGTCAAAACCAGGCTCCTCCAACTCCTGTTCCATGTCCCATTCCAGGTCAAGGGCAGCAGCCTGAAGGTCATCACTATCTAAGTACTGAGAATGTCCGGGGGCTCTCTGATCTGCATTCACCTTTTGATAGGCCATCTTTTTACCTGTTCAAATAATGAATAAAATGGGTGTTTATTTCATTGTAACACATAGATCAGATGGCCTTTCCATATCTCCCATCTCTGTAATTACTATCATTACCACTACTGATAAAAAACATTAATACAGTATTTTAAAGTTTTGCAAAGCACATTACATACATCTTATGATCCTCACAAGTAGGTGCTATCACTGACCCCATTTTACAGAAGAGGAAACTGAGGCTGAAATAGATTAAATGATTTACCTAAAGTCACATGGCTGGTAAGTGTCTGACACAAATTTTGAATTCAAGTCTTCCTAACTCTAAGTCCAGTGGACTCTACCACTTCTCTTAATAGCAAATGTTTACATAGTACTTACTATGGACCAGGTATTATGCTAAATGCTTGACAGATATTACCTCATTATATTCACTAATTTACATACATATGTTTTCCTCCTGGTAGAATACAGGCTTTTGGAGGTCAGGGACAGTTTCATTTTACTTTGCATTCCAAGTACTTAGCATAGTACCTGGCAAATAATTGGTATTTAATATATGTTTATTTATTGTACTTAGCAGGTTCCTAGTAAGAGGTTGTTGAATTACGTTGATATTGGTTCAGAACTTATGGTCATCTGATAACCATAATAAAAGAAAAGCATTTATATTACTCTAATATCTTATTATTTTGGGGAACCAAATACCTGCTACTACATGCAGCATTGTACTAGGCACAGAAGGGAAAGAAAAAAGGCATAAATCGCGATTCTTTTCCATGGAGGAGTTCTTAACCTGAGGTCTGTAGACTACATATTTTTAGTTGTTGTTCAGTCATTTTTCAGTTGTGCTGACTTCATAACCCCATTCGGTGTTTTCTTTGCAAAGATACTGGAAGGGTCTGCCATTTCCTTCTCCAGCTCATTTTATAGATGAAGAAACTGAGGCAAACAGGGTAAGTAACTTGGCCAGAGTCACACAGCTAGTAAGTGTCTGAGGCCATATCTGAACTCAGGAAGATGAGTCTTCCTGACTCCAGGCCCAGCATTCTAACTAGCGTGCCACCTACCTTCCTTAGATTATATCTATGTACCTACGCATACATACATACATACATACACACATACATATTATGTATATATTAGTATAACTGTGTTCCTTTGTAATCCTGTGGATTTTATTGAATGTATTTAAAAATATTATTCTGAGAAAAGGTTTATAGGTTTCACCAGAATGGCCAAAAGGGCTCCATCACACACACACACACACACACACACACACACAAGAACCCTGTTGTACCAGGTATTAAAGATTTTATAGATGAGAAGGAAATGAATAGAAGTAGGACATCAAGACAGACCACTCCTTGATAAAGTATGGCCTGAAATGTGAGAAGGTGACAGGCCAGGGAAATAGGTTCATAATACTTAAAACTGGAAGTGACTTGAGAAGTCATAAGATCATTGATTTAGAGATGGAAGGGACCTTCAAGTTATTGGGTCTACTCGAAAACCTCCCATTTTACAAACGAGGAAAAGAAGAGGCCCAGAGATCTTTTATTTTGTCCTACCTGTGGACATGCTGTATCTTCCCCTTCAACCCCAGCAGAATATAAGCCACTCAAAGTAAGGGATGGTTGAGCTTTTGCTTTTATATTTCCAGTACCAAGCACAGAAGCTGGCATGTAGTAGGAACTTAATATATGCTGCTTAATTGATTTTACTGAATTAAAATCCATCAAAAAGCACTGAATGCATCACATTTAATGCAAAGCATGACTGACAATCATGCCAAGTCTCCACCGAATTGAAGTCAATGGCTTCTGCACAGGAAAGACTTTAGCAACCACTGTAGAGCCTCTAATTCCCATCACAATTCAAAAATCCAGATTCATGTTCAGACAAATTATTTGCAAACTTACCAAGGCAACAATGAGGCAGAATTTTCATGCCTTGTCCAACAAGAGACATTCCATCACTGGCATATCAGCAATTCAATGATTTTCCAACATCAGACAGAGCCATCAATGGGAATGAAAGGCAAATTCAAATATTCTCTCTTCCGTGTAATGGATTTCTGATGGACACCCTAGTGACTACTTTTGTGCTCATTAACCCAGTAATGAATTATCTTTCTCAGAGATTAGCCTCCCAGGAGAATAGTCTCTTGTTCATATGTGATTAGACCCAACCACCTGATACCACGGAGTCCAGAGCATTTCAGGAAAGTTACAGAGGCGATGAACGGATGTTAGGAGAGATGTAAGCAAGCAGTTGGACCACTTACTTTACAAAACCAATTGTTTCACTACATAAGTACCTAATTTGAGAATCTCATCTTGTTACAGACTTTCTTGCCCCAAAGGAGATAAAGCAGTTGACAGACTTATTATAACAAGATAATATAAATCCTCTTCTCGGAGGTGGTTTTTTTTTTGGTCATTTTATACTCATGCATGAATAAAAAGTTAATCTCTTAAGAAGTAAAAGAGAAGAGAATGTTCCTAATTCTTTTAAAATGAGAAGTCCATTTATGAGTTGGTGGAAGAGGAGGTAAGATATAGGATTTGAAATGGAAAAAAAATAGCCATCACTGCCTGAGATTCACAGTGATTCAGAATAGGAATGGTCCTTAGAGCTTATTTAGTCCAGGTGTATCAATCCATTATTGAGGCAACTGAAATCTAGAGAGATAAAGTCAATTATCCAAGGTCACACAGGTAACAGATGGGACTTGAACCCAAACCTGGGTCCCCTGATTACAAATCCAGCCCAGTGCAGGGATTTGAAATCTCAACACACCTTGCATAATAAACTAAAATGGAAAAAAAAAAACTTCACTTGTAATAGTCCCTCACTACAGTAGTCTTACACATGATTATATTTACAGCTTAGGCAGCCAGGTGGTACAGTGGATAGAGTACTGGGCCTGAAGTCAGGAAGATCAGAGTTCCAATCCAGCCTCAGACATGCATTAGCTGTATCACCTAGGGCAAATCACTTAACCTCTGTTTGCCTCAGTTTCCTTATCTATAAAATGAGGGTGATAATAGAACCTACCTCCCAGGGTGGTTGTGAGGATCAAATGACGTAATTGTAAAGCACTTAGCACAGTGCCTGGCACATAGAAGGTGCTATAAAAATGTTAGCCATTACTTCATACCATCAAATCCACATGCAATTCATACGTCACTGATACAGATGATGATTTCATTATTATAAGGTGAATTGCTATTCAATGTGATAGGAAGTCTGTGAAATCACATAATATTTTTAAGACTAGAAGCTTAAGTCTTTACATTCAATCACATAAGTATCTCTCTTGCAGAGACCCACTTTGATGTTGCAAAGGTCATGGAAACTCAAGTGACATTTCTTCAAATAGAAATGTCTCAAGTCGTTTTTCAAATTTAATATTGTGGCACTTGAGCTTATGAAAATGCAACATTTATGGAAGGTAAAACATATTTTCTCATGCTTTCCAAACATTGTTTTCATTTATGGGAGGGACTCTCTGATCCTACTCTTCCCCCAAAGGCAAAATCAAAATTCAAACTATATCACCCTGGAATATTTCTCTATTTACCTATACACCTGTATACAACTTGCATTTTTCTTCACATCTGTCTAAATGCCCAAACCGAAGACTGAGACAAAATATAGGCAGACACAAGTTGTACAAAACATTATTTTCTAGGTAATAAGTTTGGACCACGCAATGAATTTTTATCAGAAGTTTAGATGCCAAATACCTTTATTCATCTGAATTCTAGTTACATTAATTCTAATCACAAATCCTTACTAACTTGATGTCGTATAGACAATAGGTAAACAATATATGTATCCAAGTTGAAAATTTAGTGTTTAAAACATTGCCTTCCCTAAGCAGAGGCCTGCTCCAATCACTGATGGTGCTACTACTAATAATATTAAGGCATTTATGAAGAGCTTGAACTTATCAAAGTTCTTTACATCTATTATTTCATTTCAGCATAGAATAATCTTGGGAGGGAGGGACTGCAGATTGTATTATTTATTCCCCACTTAAGATGAGAAAACAGGCTCAGAATAGAGGCAGCTACGTGGTGCAGTAGATAGAATGTTGGTCTTGGAGCCAGGAGGACCAGAGTTCAAATCCTGCCTCAGATATAATAGTTATGGAACCCTACATAAGTCACTTACTTACCTTCTCTCAGCCTCAGTCTCTCCATCTGAAAAATGATGATGATCATGATATAACTCCATAACAGAGATGGTATGTGGATGAAATGAGACAGCACTCTATAAAGTGCTTTGTACTTGTTCAGTTGTGTCTGACTCTTCACGACCCCACGTGGGATTTTCTTGGCAAAAAATTCTGCAGTGGTTTGCCATTTCCTTCTTCAGTTCATTTTACAGATGAGGAAACTGAGGCAAATAGAGTGCAGTGACTTGTCCAGGGTCACACAACGAGCAATTGTCTGAGACTGGATTTGAATTCATGAAGGTGCGTCTTCTTGATTCCAAGCTCAGTGCTCCATCCACGGCATAACCTAGCTGCCTCTCATAAACCTTAAAGAGCCATAGAAAGACTAGCTATCATCACTAATATGATTAACAGCCCACCTATAGCTATGTAGCTAGTAAGTGTTAGCATTGGGATTTAAAGACAAGTCTTACACACCAAGTTCAACCTTCCCGTGGGTGGTGGTGGGGTGGGGAAAGGAATCATCATTCACTAGAACAGCATCTGCTATGTGCCAGGCACTGTGCTGAGCACGCTTAAAAATATATATATCGCATTTGATTCTCACAACCACCTTGGAAGGCAGGGGCTAATATTATCCCCATTTTACAGATATGGGGCCTGAGGCAAGCAGAGGTTAAGTGATGTGCCCAGGGTCACACAGTAAGTGACTGAGGCAGGAATTGAACTCAGGTATTCTTGACTCCAGGTCTAGGACTCTATCCATTGCATCGTCACATGCCTCTTAAATGCTACCAAGCTGCTCAGGGCCTTCTCAAATCGAGGCTGACTGGAAAC